CGGACAAAATTCGCGCGCCCTCGAACATTTTCACACTTTGAAGGAATAAAAATATACTACTGTGTAAAAGAAGGATATTACTATCCTATGATAGCCATTGAATACGCCAGAGCAAAGCGAGGTTCCTGAAATAAGCCGCACAACAGTGACGAAAATGAAGGAAGAGTATGCACTTTCCTGACGAAGGCCAACTTTCAAAAAATTATAAAAAATTCCAAATACACCCCTTTGGGTTGAATCTTGGCATGCGAATTTCTATTTTGTTGTTCTAGGCAGTAAAAGGTACCACTCTGTATTTCGCTAAAAAATAAATAACGTTTTTTCAATTGAGGAAGAAAACCGCATTTTAGCCTGGCCAAGCCTTTTCCAGACGCCAAAAAAACGCTCGACAAGGGTGTACTTAGACTTAAATTACGTTCTGTAGTTTAGTTTTTTGGTCTCAAATTTTTACGGCAAATAACTGAGTCACAAAGATATATTACTGCCAAAAATCAGACCAAATCCTTGAATATTTTTGGAGTTATTAACTTTCGAAGTTAAAAATGGCAACTTTAGACCTTTCCTAGATTTTAGTTACAGTTGTTATACCACTACATGAGAAATTTCTGCAATTTGATTGGGTTAGAGCAGTGGTATTTCAGCTTAATTTGAAATACCTACATGTGAAAATTACAAACCTTTTGCGGGTAGTAGTATAAACAAATAATAGCATGATTTGTAAGTGATATTTGGCATAAGTACCACTCATGATATTTCAAAATTGTCTCAAATTTTACTCGTCTAACGGCTCGTGAAATTACGTTTAACAATTTGGAAATATCACTCGTGGTATTTATGCCAAATATCACTACAAATCATACTATTACCTATACTAACCCATACCCTACATAGGACGTGAAATTGTTAAAAATCTACATTTTCTAAAAATGAAGAGGGTAACTGGGCGACACCAGACCATTCCAAGGGTTAGGTTCCGATGGTTCAATCCTGAAATTTTTCAGGTTCTAAGCGATTTTTTAAGTCTAAGTCGCCCAACTTTGCACTTTCCTGTCGCAAAAGTTAATTCAAAGCCCCCCAAAATAGGAAAACTAACAGCTAAAAATTTAAAAAAAAAATGATATTACAGAATTAAGCGTAAAATCAATAAAAAATGTTTTCCCCTCTTCACCATAAAACGTTAGTGATTCTTAGGCCAAAAGCTAACATCCCAGGGCTACTGTCAGGAAAATACATGCCACGGAAGATAGTTAGTCTTCGATTCTGTGACACCCGCCAAACCCTCTCAAAATCTGAGGAGTACGGCGACCCGGCCGGGAGGAGGCCGCTGAAGCGAACTTACTGTTATACTCGGGTCGCTGTTTATTTTGATTTGAATTTTGACCGCTGTCCAAAATGCCGGATCACAAGAGTAGTGTAGAAATTAGCGGTTATGTTACAGCCTGTTCCGATAACTCAAGCAATGCTAGGCTGATTGGGACAGGCTGTAACAGAACCTCTACTTCTATACTACTCGATCCTCTACACTATTAACAGGTTATCTCGCCAAATCTTTATCGTCTTCGCACTTTTGCTCGGCTATTTTTAACTCAAGGGCGAGTTTCTCTGCTTGAAGATTCTTTCTCAGAATTGAGCTTTTACTTGCCTTGGATGCACTGGTAGACTCGCCGGATGGAAATAACTTCAGTGTTCAGTCTCTCTTTCCATTTGAGACAATTATTTTAGACACATTTTCAGAATCACTCTCGACGTTTCTGCAGGATGCTGTTGTATGCTTTACACTGTTTGACACGAATGGACCTCTTTCATAATGGCGGCCTGTTAATATATTCTTTTATATGTATGATAATTACCCTTCTGACCTCGTAAGAGTTGAGTAAGTAAGAATTCTTTTGTATTTTGCACATGCTAACGAGGTCAAAAACGCTAATTATGATACATATAAAGGAATATATTAATAGGCCGCCATTATTACAGAACTCTATTTCAATCGGTGGTTGAATAACCCTACACTCCTTTGTTTTTCACCTTTTCGCTTCGGAAGTTACATAGAATATCCCGGCTCGGTAGACCAAATGTCGATGTACCGACTGTTACTGACGCGAACGCTAAATCAACATAATAAAACACAGAAATAGTAAGTCAACTGTTCTCAGAGTGAAAGACTCAAAAAACGTGTTCGTTTCTTATTGTCACGCGTTCATTCAACTGTCAGTCAAGATCGCGCTCAAAACCGGAAGCGGAGGCACGGGATGAGTCCGCTACAGATCGTGGACGGTGCAAAGTTAAGATGTTTGGAAAAGAGTGTTATTCGCATGAAGTTCGTCGATAGTTTGAATTTATCCCGTGCCTATATCCTCCTTTCCGAAACTATTTCGTATAGACGAAGAATAAATAAGGAAAAGGCTAGCATCAGGCTTACGTGGGGACCATACCGTCGAAACATTACTAACACCCTGACAGTATGAATGAAAAAAGAAGAGAGGAATTCATTGCTAGTACGATGCCCATCCCTATAATAATGATTTCCTTTTCTACTGAAAAATGGAAAATTAATTAAGGATATATGTTCTAGAAACAAACAAGGGATAGATATGAGTCGGTGAGTGGGGTTGCGTTAGACTGTTTCAAGACTGGAAGGATTGACGGAAAATGGGGGGGGGGGGTTGTTGAAAACCCAATACAAGATCAAGGAAAGATACAACTTTAAGTACAACAAATTAGCATTTTTCATTAATTCCTTTAAGAATCACTAAATATAAAACTGCTAGAAATACGTGTATCGCAGAAACTCGCAAAGCTCTAGGGGAGGAGGTCCATAAAATGTCGGAGATAGAAGGGGGTAGAGAATTGGAGTAAATTGTGTAGCTTGGGAGGACAGGTTTCAACACTGGCTCTAATATTGGAATGTGAGAATTACTTCATCTCCTTTTGGTTGGAGCAAATCTGAACCCAGTGCTCTGTCGTTAAAAAGGATTTTCTGGGACTTAAAAGGGGGCTGGCGTCGTTAAGGAAGGGTAGGCAATGTTTCATAGGTCCCGTGTTTACCCCATCTGACCCTCCTACATGTGTAATTATAGTCAAAAGAAAATGGGTGTGATAGTGAATAACTACACAAAAGAGATAATATGCAGCTAACTCATGCCATCTTTAATAATAAGACGAATAATAATTATTATTCGTGAAGTGTGTCATTAGTAGAGCAGTGAAAATAACAGGTAAATGCTGGTGATTGTCGAAAAAAATATTTATTGTTAAGTGAACTACAGCAATGAGAGTGTTTGTACTTGTTGTAGTACATAATGCAGAGATGCCATCCTCTGGAAATCTTAAATCTGGAGACTCTTTTTTTTGCCTTCCCCCCCCGGCCGAATATCAATGATCAACCCCCCACCTCCCATAAGCACAATTCGATCCAGTCCCTAATCGGTTTAGGACATTATACGAAGTCTTACAAGAGTTACAGAACCATCAAAAACTAGCGTTTATGATTGTAATGGGGAAATATTCTTTGTCACTGATGAAATACATGCGAAAATGCCCCAGAAACCGAACTTTGACCGAAAGAAAATTCTAATTTTGGGAGAAAATGGGATAAATTCCAAATTAAAGCACAGAAAAGCTTACAACTCGATTTTATCTGGGAGATTTGCTGACCCGTACGGGAGGAGATTGTTGTCGTATCCGGGAGAGTTGGCATGTATGATAATCACACTTGACTACTAACTGTTTTTTAAAACAGTAAGGTGCAAACATAATCACTTACACTGAAATAGAGATTACTTGTAGCAATGTCATTAAAGATGCAGTTTAGGAGAGTTGTGTTTATGATGATTATTGAATATGCAGTACCCTCATTAGCAATGAATTATCCCTCTAAAGAGTACAAAATCATTTGTGAAAGTGTTAGGGTTAGGGTTTGTGTACATGCATGAGAAATAAATACATACAAGAGTGAATTTTTATGAAATGTCCACATACAAGTCATGTTGAAGTTGATCAGTTTCTAAATTCTCAACATGCATGACCTTGTTGAGACATGGTTGCCAGAGGAATAGTTTTTGAAATTCCCAGACTGACAGTCAAATGTGCCCTTTAAAAAAAATAATAATAAAAATAATAAAATATTTATATAGCGCTTATACTTTTCAGTGCTAAGCGCTTAAGCCCTTTCCCTGACCAAATGAATTGACAATTTGTCCAGGTACTAATGGATTCCACAATTCCACTCAAAAGTTCGTGTACTGGACACAGATGACGTAAAGCAAAATACTTCTTTGTTTTCTGTTCGGGGAAAATCTGCTTGGTATTGTTTCAAGGCTGTTTTTCTTTTGTTTTACGTCATCTGTGTCCGGTACACGAAATAAATGCCCCAATTCCCATCACAACCATCCTCACCACCCATTTATTACATCAATTTATCGTGACACATTTAGCTTTTTGTTTGCTGTCTGAATTTCTTTTTTTTATGTACAAGTTTTTTTTCTTTTTTCTGTGCAGCTGCGGGTCGTGTGTACCTGACCCTTAACAAAATCATTTATTAATAACTTAACTAAGGCTGCGCAATCTTTTTAGCCCTCAATGGTTATTATGGGCAGCCTGTACTCTCTCTATTTTTAATAGTTTTAATTTCTGGAAACAATATCCTGCACTGGAATATGTTTAACTTCGGTGAATATGCCGAGATATGTCACCTCCCTTGTTATGTTCTCGGGCAAATAGACAACTGCACGCAGGATGGCGGATCAACTAAAGAACTGTATTAATCAAAGAGCACATGGGTTTTACAGCAACTGCATACATACTGCGGGCTCAGTATGAATTACTGACACTATAACAATTGTAATGATACACTATAACATCTCCCCACAGAAATGTTGTGCCTGACAAGAAATTAAAGTACAAGACAACTATTGAAACTCGCTAAATGATCAAAAGTTCAAGAAAGGAAACAAAACTATTAGAAGCACTGTTCAATGTCATTAAGGGGAGACTTAATGGTTTTAGTCCATTTCTTCAATCAGTCTCTGTGGTGGTTTAGTGGCACGTTTGGACCGACGCGGAGCAGGGGTGGGAGGAGTGGGTGTGCTTGGCGACTCCACTGACTCTGATTCTTCGGGTGGGGGTGTACTGATTCCGGTACTGGGAGAAGTAACGCCTTCAGTAGATTGATCAGATGTAACTTCGACAGAGCTGGAATGAGTCACAGCAGAACTAGGGGTGTTTTGAAGTACATCGTCAACATGTCTCCTCCAATTCTGTCCATCGTTCAACTGGACTTGAAAGGAAGCAGGCAATGTTTACTGTACGACAGTACCAGCTTGCCAATTCTGTCCCGATAGGTGGTCACGTGCGAGAACACAGTCGCCTACAGCTATCTCCCTGAACTTTGCCAACTTGTCGTGAGTGCACTTCATTTTGTCTTGCTGGCTGCCACGCGAGATCCAATATCAGGTGTAACCAAATACAATCGAGTGCGAAGTTCTCGCTGTAAGAAAAACTTGGCGGGGGATGAGCCGGTTGTAGCGTGTGGTGTGCTTCTGTAAGATAAGAGGGAATTCTGAAACCGCCGCTGTATGCCATTTTGCCGCAGGAACTCTTCATACGCTGCAGACTGGAAGGGTGGGCCGTTGTCGCTGACTACTTTAGTTGGTAAACCGTATCTGGCAAAAATATTACGCATGGCATAATTGGTATAGTCGGCTGTTGTTGTTTTCATGGGACCAATCACTTCAGGCCACTTAGAGTGGGCGTCGACCATGATGAGGTATAATGTTTTGCCTGATGGGTGGCAAAATCTACGTGAACACGTTGCCATGGAGCTGTCGGCCAAGATCATGGAAGAAGTGGTGAGGCTGGAGGAGCCCTGCGGGTTTTGTTGCACGGTTGACATTTACAGGTAACCTTTTCAATCTCCTGATCTATTTTCGGCCACCAAACATGACTGCGGGCTATTAATTTCACGCGTGCAATTCCAGGATGACCTTCATGTAATTCTGTCAGAAAAGTTTGTCTTAAAGAAGGAGGTATGACAGTTCGCAGGCCCCACATAAGGCAGCCTTGCTCCACGGAGAGTTCGTGTCTGGGTGTGAAGTATGGCTTGAGGTCAGGATCGGCGCAGCGATTAATAGGCCAACCATTCTGCGTAAGCAACAGTGCTTTCGCTAACAAAGGGTTCCTAGATGTGTCCTTGGCGATTTCTGGGTGTCGTTTTAACTGCTGATGGGCCACGTGGAAGATTTCCTCTTCCACACTTGCATCCTTCCTGTACTGAAGTGGGAGCCTTGGCAAGGCGTCAGCGCTGGCTACTTCAGCAACTCAATATCGTAGTGGTACGAAGAGAGAAGAAGGGACCAGCGTTGCAGTCTAGCAGCAGCCAAAACTGGAGTCGCAGAATCCGGAGCAAATATTTTTAACAGGGGTTTGTGATCAGTTCGCAGAGTGAACTTGCGCCCGAAGAGATACATGTAAAATTTGGTGACCCCAAAAATAATGACAAGACCTTCCTTCTCGATCTGACTGTAGTTTTTCTCAGACGAGTTCAAGGACCTGGAGGCATATGCGATAGGTCGCTCATCACCATTAGGGAAGCGGTGAAATATGACTGCTCCGATGCCATACTGGCTTGCATCGCTCTCAAGAATAACAGGAAGGCTCGGGTCATAATGAACCAGTACATGAGAAGATGAGAGTGAGTCCCTCGCCTTTTTAAATGCCTCCTCGCACCGGGGGGACCACTTGAATTCTTGGTTACCTTGGAGAAGCTGATTGAGTGGTTGGAGGATAGAGCTCAGGTTTCGGATAAACTTGCCGTGATAATTGATCATTCCAAGGAAGGCTCTCAGCTGGGTGAGGTTCTCAGGGCGTGGTGCTTGTTTGATGGCTTCTACCTTTTCCTCTGTAGGAGAAATTCCGCTGGCAGAGATGACACAGCCCATGTACGTTACTGATTTCCGCATGAATTTGCATTTGCTTAGCTGAAGTCGCAAGCCATAATGGTCTAGACGGCTGAGGACGCTGTCTTAGTTCTTAATGTGTTCTTCGTCATCCTTGCCAGTAATAAGAATGTCATCTTGTATACTAGCCACGTGATGTAAACCCTGAAGGATGATGTCCATAGTACGCTGGAACAGAGCGGGTGAAGACGCAATACGAAGGGTAGCCTTTGTAGCGGTAAAGACCTCTGTGCGTATTGATGGTAACGAACTGCTGGCTTTCAGGATCCAAAGGGAGCTGCTGGTAGGCACTCTTTAAGTCGAGATTGGTGAAACGTTGTCCACCCCGCAGTTTTAAAAAGACATCCTCCGGGAGGGGAATTGGATACTGAGGGACGTGAAGCTGGGGGTTGAGAGTAACGGCATAATTACCACAAGAACGTGTAGTTCCATCTGCCTTGGGGACATGAACCATTGGGGTAGCCCATTCACTGAATTCCACCCGTTCGACAATTCCTTCTGACTCGAGACGGTTGTATTCAGCTTCAACAGCTTCCTGAAGAGCATAGGGGACAGGACGAGCCTTACAAAACTTTGGACGTGCGTCAGGTTTCATCTCTAGTTTGGCTGTGATTCCTTTGACAGTTCCGAGGCCTGGTTTGAAAACGTTAGGGTGATTTTGGATAGTTGTGCGCAACTGGGAAGCCACGCCCTGTGGGAGGTCTGTCTCCGATACCCGAATATTGCAAATCTTCGTCCAGTCGAGTCTTATTTGGGACAACCAGTCTCTTCCAAAAAGGGATGTGCCTGAGCCTTCAACAACAAGGAGTCGGACATCGGCGCTCTAGTCTTGGTACTTTAGGTGTTCGTTAAGTTGCCCATGTACCTTGAGTGGGTGTCCTGTGTATGCACGTAGGCGTGTATTGGACGGCATGAGGGGTGTGCCACTGAAGTGTTTCTTGTAATTTCTTCTGAAATAACTGAGACACCTGCACCAGTGTCTAATTCCATTAGAAGAGAGGGAAAAAGGATCAACCGAATCATCGAGAGGACTAATTTAGGGGGTTCTTATCCTTCCAGCTGGTGCACTTTCTGAGGTTTCCCTTTGCATGCCTCCGAGATGTGACCAACTTCACCGCAAGAATGACATGTGTAATTTCTGTATTTACACTGAGAACGTGGGTGCCCTGTTTTTCCGCAGCTCAAACACTCCGAGGGGTCTTTAATGTTGCTACCAGAGGAATTGAACTTGCCTCGCTTGCCAGGACCCTTACGACGTTGGGTAGGCTGAAGACTTCGACGATTACCATAGTCGACTGGGTTAACAGAAGCTGAACTTTCTTGCGAGAACGCTGCAACATCCTTTTCAGCAACTTCGGCGCCGAGGGCGACTTTCAGGACTGCATCGAAAGTGTGTTCCTCGGTTAGCAGTTTCTTTTGTGTCTCCTTACTGCGAAGACCACAGACGAAACGACCGCGTAAAGCTTCATTCAGGTGAGTGCCGAACTGGCAAGTTGAAGCCAGATGTTTCAGGTTAGCAGCGAACGCATTGACACTCTTGCCTTCGCGTTGTGTACAGTTGTGGAATCGGTATCTTTGGGCGATAACCAGTTTCTTCGGTGCGAAATGATTCTTTAGCATAGTGGTGAGCTGTGCGTACGTTTTCTCAGAAGGAGGAGTCGGTGAGCAGAGATCCGAAAGAACATCGTAGGCCTTGGCGCCAATAACAGAAATTAGGATTGCTCTTCGTTTGTGTGACTCTGCAGAATCGGCGGGAACGCTGTTTGCCACGAAATATTGTTCCAGTCGCTCTAGGTAGCGATTGATGCTTGTAGTAGCTGAATTGAACTCCTCCATTTTGCCGAGGCTTGGCATGGTCGCTCGACTCCTCGTCGCCAGAAATGTTATGTTCTCGGGCAAACAGACAACTGCACGCAAGATGGCGGATAAACTAAAGAACTGTATTAATCAAAGAGCACATGGGTTTTACAGTAACCGCATACATACTGCGGGCTCAGTATGAATTACTGACACTATAACAATTGTAATGATACACTATAACATCCCTCTGACTTCTTTGAAAGAGTCCAGTTTTCCCTGACTTATACTGAAATTCCCTGACTTGATAAATTGTCCCTTATGGGTAAAACAATAAATTTTCCTGGCATTGTAACAGATGTCACACTAATATTGTGAGGAGATCCGAAATACAGATGTTCTTTTCGAATATTAAATAGGATCGAAAATAAGAGGCCAGCAGTAATAAATTTTTGTTATGTTTAACTGAAAAGACACAGCTGTGTTTATGCATATGCTATACATAGATATATATTTTTACGTGGGATGGTTTTGGAGAAGTAAATGTAATAAAAGTTGTAAACGAAAATTTTGTCCAGTAAGGTCTTTGTTTACCAATGTAACGCTTCCCTACATGTCATACATTATCGGTGTTATAAACCGTTCATTGTAAAATAAAGCTTACTGTAAAACCCAGTGTTGCTCATGGTGTAAAGGCTGATAGGCTCTCCTCAGTCCGCTAGAAAGATCGTGTAACTGTTGCTGCCTATCGTTGCATCGAAGAAGATAATTTTACTGTAAACTGTAAGCGTTACCTGATCTCCCCATCGCTTTTTGAAGCGTCGGCAGTCGGTGTTCTCTCTCTTCATCGATTCCATTTACAATGTAATTGTCGTATTTTGTTGCTACCTCTGTACATGTCTGTGGTCACTGTGTTGACGACGTTGCCTTCGTTGTGCTAAGCGATATTCTTTGTGCTTTGCGCGCGGCTTCTTGTTAATTGCCGTCGTCTTCTCCGCTCGCGATGAATTTTCTCCGGAGGACTTTCGGCTGAAAATCGAGGATTTCCCGCCACTTGTTGTGCTTGTTGTCCTGTGTCATTTGAATGGGAAATTGCTCTTCATTCATTGATTGTAAACATTGTTTCATAGATGAACAAGACGCTGTGGGAGCGTATATTTGGGCATGGTCACGTATGATACTTTGAACATACCTTATTGCAGCTAAACAACTGTCATCATATCTTACCAGAGACGATAAATCGTTTACTCTACTTGTTTGCTGAACCACATAGCTTATACAGTATGTCCCAATCCACAACAATAATCCTGTCATTTCATGACAATGTTTGAAAATATGCACATCTTCAATGCCGACATGCTTGGAGCCAAATTGCAACATAGGACATCAGTGGTTATAACCCGCAGAGTAAGGTTTATCTCAGTTTCACTGATACTGACACTTTGAGGAAGATTGACTGACAGATGTGTTTTCACACCCATCACATTGTACAGTGTATTCCGGTTACTAACAAGGGCAAATAAAGTTCTTTAAGTCCAGTATCCACAAGGATTAGTAAGAGAGCAAAACGTTGCATAAACTGCTATAGGGCAGTACTGTTTACAGCAACATTGGTAACTATTAACATTTGATATACTACAATGTTCAACATTGCTTGAGAAAAG